TCCTCCTATAAGATAATTAGTTCATTTAGAAAAAGATAAGGGCATGACAACCACTTCTATCCTGTTACAAGAAAGCTACTTGAACATATCCATGTAGTCATCATTTCATTTGAAAGAGACTTTTTAATAGGAACTGTAATATCAATAGTAAATAAATCAGATATGATGTGAACTCCAAGACATAAGAAAACAAGAAAAGAAAGAGGCATTTTTGCTGATTTTAGAGGGACTCTGGCAGAAGAAGATCCAGATGTAGTTGGCATTTCAGTCTGTACTATTGGCTGAATGAACTAATACCTCTCCAACAGTAGCAATCAGGTAGAATAATTGTTGCAAGATGATACCGTACTGTATTTGAGGGAGGTAAGGAGAAAACATATAAAGCTCTTCTTTCAATGGAGATGATGGAAAATTTTTGCCTCTGTAATTTTCTACTTCAAACATTTCTGGGTAGGTCCATGGAAGATTTGGGAGAGCTGCTGCTCATCAAACTGGCAGCATTGTACAAAATAGACCAATGGGCTTAATCCTTTGATAATGGCTTCAAATGTGCTTTGAACAGTTGCAGTAAAAGGGCAATGTATGCATTCTGATTAAAATACTATAATAAATATTATTACTGCTATATTATAAAGTACAGGGGAAATTTAAATGGAAATAATATAGTATTAACTTGTTTGGTTCCAGAGTCAAATCCCACAAAAGTTGTCATTAATAGAGTTGTATGCGTGTTTCTGCCATTTTCTATTTATAAATAACACAGAAATGTCTGTGGAGTTATGGCTGAAAATGCAATGGTATTATTTGCCGATTTTTATGTGTATTACCTCAGTTATAATGAACAAAATCCAGGATGAATTCTAATTTCTCTCTTCCTTTCAGAACTTTTCCATGTACCCCTGAAACAGCTTTTATAAATTTGAATGAGTTGGATTTTTTTCCCAATAGATATTCCCTAAGGTAGATAATACCAATCAGCTTGTTGCTACAGCCAGTTCTCTAGATGTTTAGTTAATCTATATACTAATAAAAAATTCTGTGTCTGCAAGATATTTTATAACCTGAACTCAAGTGAACTACTGCATCATAAGGGAAAACTTTGTCAGCAAAGGTAATTCAAATGGGCTAACTTAGAAAATGCTGAGATTCATTACTCCCAAGGGAATGAAATGGGGGGGGGGAATTGCCACTTCAACACCACTATACAGCTTCTGTTGAGCATCACAACTGTGCTGTCTCAACCAGCCACACTCATTTTCAACATTTTCACTACTAAAATCTTTCTTATGGGAAGCTTATAAGGAGAAATCAGTGGAGAAAAGGTTCAGTCCCTTTGTGCACCAAGGGAGGGAGGGTTTCCATTGCTCACTGCCAGCTTTCCACAAGGACACTCAATAGGGAATGTGACAGGAATTTGGATTCATAATGTTGTGTATTAGCCTAATTTCATAAGGACTGTTATAAAACGGTTAGTTAGATGTTCAATTCAAATCCTTAATTGTTTGTTGCATATATTGCAAGCCTGTGTTTTAGGCGGGAATGTATGCTTTAAAATCATTGGCTGCCACCTAGTGGCGATCCATATAAATATGAGTCAAGCAGCTGCTAGAGCCGCCTTTGTGTGGATTGAATAAATGAGCTGTTACTTTCACTCCTGTGTCTTCAATGGCTCGCCATTCCCAGTACACAACAGTGGCGACGAAGGTGGGATTATGCTGCTAAGGAAGAAAGAGCTGGAGGACTAAGAGCTAAGAGTCACTAAGGGGTAAGACCAGGCATCAGCGCTCTGATAGGAACAGCGTTCCCCCCTTCTGCCTGCCGGCAAGCAACATTGGAGGCATCACTATTCTAAGGGATCCATCCCTAGGATTCACACAAAAGCCCCTAGAAGCATAAGGCATTGGCGATGCAATAACAGCCAGCTATGGCCAAAGTTGGCAAGCTATCCAAATTCGATGTATTGCACCCAGAACAATGGAGTTCATATACCTTCAGGGTCAAAAACTATCTGAGAGTGAAGCAGGTCAGGAAAGACAGACTCAAGGCTGCAACGTTGCTGTGTATATGCGGCCAAGCAACTTTTGATATAGCAGAGAATCTAGTCGCTCCTGCTACTTTGGAGTCAGTTACCTTCGCTGACTTGAAAAGAAGACTCAAAGAAAACTTTGAACCAAGACTGTCCATCATCGCATGGAGACATGCGTTCGAGCAGAGAGAAGAGCAGCCCAGGGAGTCCGCTGCTGAATTCATGGCTGCACTGCGACAGACGTCCAGATTCTGCAAATTTCCAGATTTAGAGGATTGGCTCAGGGACCAACTCGTTTGTGGCCTGAGAAGAAGAGACATACAGCAAAGGCTGTTTGTAAAGGAGACCTTGATATTCCAGGACGCACTGAAAGAAGTGATGGCAGGAGAGACTGCAGGTGGAGCCGTCAAGGCTTTACGCCCCTCAAAGAATTCCCCAAGCCAGACAGCTATTTATCATGAAGATTCAGAGAGAAAGAAGACCCAGAAGACATTAAGATCGACCGAGTGCAGAAGCTTCCAGGAAGAAGGCAGCAGCCACTTGACAAGGCAGCCTTCTTCCCTAGCTGTCCTGGCTGCGGAGGATGGCACCAGCACTCAGAATGCAGGTTTCATATGGCTGTGTACTGAGCATGTGGCAAACAGGGCCACATTGCTATCATCTGTAAAGGTTGCCAGAGGGAATCTCCACCCGAAGACTTCCCCAGGAGAGGTAAAGGGGCAAAACAGAGTAGGATATTGCTCCGGAAGGAGGAGCATTCTCATAACAGGAACCCATCGCCCCCTAAAAGAAAAGCTTAGACTAAGAATCAAGCTACAAGGAGTTCCATGCTCAATGGAACTGGACACTGGGTCAGCTGTGTCTATAATTGAAGGCCAGTGCACAAGCCTGATCGGCCTAGACCAGTGATGGTGAACCTTTTAGAGACCAAGTGCCCAAACTGCAACCCAAAACCCACTTATTTATCGCCAGGTGCCAGGTGGGATGTGGCCCACTGGGTGGGTGTGGCTGTCATGGTCATGGAAAACTGGGTGGGTGTGGCCAAAGTGGGCATGGTCACCTCGATGTTGCTCATGGTGAGGGATGCCTGTGGGGGTCGGGCAGGGCTGGGGGGAGATCCAGGGCATCTCTGGCAAGTGGGATGGTGGGCAGGAGGCTCATTCTGCGAGGTGAGTCGAGGTGAGGCAGGGCGGGGGTACCATTGCCATGGGGCAAGGCAAGGCAGAAGCCTGGGCAGCTGCTGCCTGGCACCATCGGCCCCTGCACACATAGGCCACCAAGTGCATGGAGGTCGACGATGTCTGTCAGCAGCCACAGCCTGCTGGCTCCTCGACCGGTGCACTCTGGGGCTCTACAGCCCATCACCAGCAGTTCAGAGAAGCCGCCTTTGAGCTGGACAAGTTGCCTACAACTGAGGGGCCAATGCAGTGGGTCATGCGCAGGAAAAGGAGAGCATGTGAGGCCAAGAGGGATGGGATGGGGGGAGGGAAACCAGCTATGCCAGGATGCATCCGGCCACATGGGACCTCAGGCAGCTGGTTGAAGAGGGATGGTTGCCATCTCTGGGACATGGCACATGTGCCATAGGTTCACCACCAATGACCTAGACTGGTTTGATGCCCTGGGCATCCATGTGACTGGCATCAACAAAACCAAAACAGTGGATTTGGCAGCTGTCTGCCAGGAATTTGCTGATGTATTCAGCCCCAGCTGAATTTTGTATTTGTATTTTCCTAATACAAAGGAGCACTAATTGCTCTCCACCTTGATCCAACCATAACCCTAATCAGGGTAAAGCCTTGTAGAGTGCCTTTTGCCCTTAAACCCAAGATAGATGCAGAGTTAGACAAGCTTGTTCAACAGGGAGTGTTGCAACCTGTTGACAGCAGTGTTGGGAAAACCCCATAGTCACACCAGTTAAGCCTAATGGAGAGGTGCTCATCTGCGCTGATTATAAGTACACTATTAATAAGGCACTTCGGCAGCATGCGTATCCAGTACCTGTAGTTAGCCACATCCTGGCATCATTACAGGGAGGTCACTTATTCGCTAAGCTGGACCTGGCACAGGCAGATCAGCAACTGCCTGTGCATAATGCCACTGTTGAAACACAAACAATAGTTACCCATAGAGGGGCATTCAAGGTTCGTCGCCTGCAGTTTGGAGTCGGTGTAGCCCTAGGGCTGAAAAATATTCCAGGTATGTGTCCTTATTTTGACAACGTTCTAATTGCTGGGGAGTCAGCAGAAATATTAGCAGATGCCTAAAAGTTGTTCTTCAGCGCTTCCGCGAAGCAGGGCTGAAGCTCAAAAGAGACAAATGTCAAATAGAAGTGAACTCCACAGAGTTCCTCATTTTCCGAATTGCTGCTGCTGGAATACACCCCACTGACTCAAAGCTTAAGGCTCCCCGATCTAAGTCAAAGGGGGATCTGCAAGCATTTTTAGGGTTACTAAATTTCTACCGTGCATTCCTTCCTCACAAGGCTGCATTAGCAGAGCCTCTACATAGGCTCCTGGATAAAAGGGTACCATGGCAGTGGACTAGTGCCCATGAAAATAGTTTCAAAGCAGTCAAATCACTGCTGTCTTCAGACTCTGTGTTGACACACTTTAACGAAAAACTGCCTATCAGTATTGCATGTGATGCTTCATCATATGGGATTGGAGCAGTTTTGAGCCATTTAATGGCTGACGGGAGCCAAGCTCCCATAGCATAATATTCAAGGACACTTTCTCCTGTGGAAAGAAAGTATGCACAAATGATAAGGAAACATTAGCCATAGTAGCTGGAATAAAGAAATTCCATGATTTTCTTTATGGTTGCCCATTTACGGGCTTTACAGACCACAAGCCTCTTCTAGGTCTGTTTACTGCAAACAAGCAAACTCCTCAGATCCTTTCTCCACAGATGCTGAGGTGGTCAATCTTTATGGCAGCCTACAATTACAGGCTAGTCCAAGCCTGGCAAGGAAATGGGCCACGCTGATGCACTCAGCAGGTTGCCCTTGCCTAATTCAGAACCAGACCCCACACTTGCTGCACGCATCATGTCAATTCAGGATCTGCCAGAATCTCCCCTTCACGCAGGGGATGTGGCTGCTGAAACAGCCACTGACAAAACACTCAGTCGTGTTTTGAACTGGGTGCTATGGGGATGGCCAGGAATCAGTCCTAGGACAGAATTTCACAGCTTCATCAGAAGACAAGATGAGCTATCTGCATACAAGGGATGCATTCTATGGGGAAGTAGGGTTATAGTCCCACACACATTAAGAGCAAGAGTCTTAGAATCTCTGCATGAGGGACATCCTGGAATAGTCAGGATGAAGGCACTCATGAGAAGCTACCTGTGGTGGCCAGGGTTGGATAAGGATATAGAGGTTCAAATGAAAGGATGCCAGGTTTGCCAGCAGACCAGACCTGAAATGCCTCAAGCCTCAGTACATCTCTGGGAGACTACACAAACCGCCTGGTCTAGGATTCACATAGACTATGCAGAACCCTTTCAAGGACAGGTGTTCCTTATTGTAGTGGACAGTTACTCCAAGTGGCTTGAGGTAGCACTTGTCCCCACTATGACTACTAACAGGACCATCCAGGAACTGCGCAGAATCTTTGCCACATATGGCTTACCTGATGTAATTATATCAGATAATGGGGTACAATTTACTGCTGCTGAATTTCAGTTCTTCTTAAGGACTAACATGATTAGACATGCTACCTCTGCCCCCTTTCACCCGGCCTCTAATGGTCAAGTGGAAAGGATAGTCAGGAAAACTAAGGAAGAGCTTAAAAGAATAACAAAGAGCGATTGGCATTATAGATTGGCAGACTTTTTGCTCTGCCAACACACAACTCCATGCACTTCAATGGGCCATAGTCCAGCAGAACTGAGATGGGAATGTTGGCTGACTACAAAGTTGGACCGTCTCCATCTGGACTGAGTAGCAGTAGAGATGGCACAGCCTAAGCCCCCAAGGAACTTGCAAGTTGGCGACCGAGTTTGGGCAAGGAACTATGGACAAGGGGCACCGTGGGTGGTAGCTGTGGTTTGCAAGGTGTCAGGACCACTGTCATATGAAGTGGTCTTGGAAGATGGGCGCATTTTGCGCCACCACATCGACCAACTGCATCGGCGGCAGGCTAATCAGACCCTGGCTGCTGATCAAGAGGAGAGCCACGAGCTAACTGACAGCTGCAGCGCGTCTGTGTCTCCTGGGTCTGGCGAGACTCACAGAGACATGCAGGATGACTCAATCTTGGTTGAGTCACCACCGACTGGAGGAACCTTGCCCACAGAACAGAACTTGCTGGCGGAATTGTTTCCCAGTCTTTCCAGGACTGCTCTGCTCACAGACATGTGCACTGGTCTACCCGGTCAGACCAGCCAAAGAGAGATTGGTCTACTCAGCCCGATCAGTCAAAGAGAGACTGGTCTACCCAGCCTGATCAGTCAAAGAGACTCCATCCTACCCAAAGCTAGCGGGTTGAGGAGCCCTGGTCTACCCAGCCAGCCGAGGGTATACCGGGAACCTCCGGCAGAGATGCGGTGATCAGAGCGGTCGTGGAAGCCACCTGCCTATCTACAAGATTATATACATTTTCTGGATGTGTGATTTATCTAGGGGGAAGGGGTGTTATGTATTAGCCTAATTTCATAAGGACTGTTATAAAACGGTTAGTTAGATGTTCAATTCAAATCCTTAACTGTCTGTTGTATATATTGCAATCCTGTGTTTTAGGCGGGAATGTATGTTTTAAAATCATTGGCTGCTGCCTAGTGGTGGTCCGTATACATATGAGTCAAGCAGCTGCTAGAGCCGTGGATTGAATAAACAAGCTGTTACTTTCACTCCTGTGACTTCAATGCCTCACCATTCCCAGTACACAACACACAATCCTTTTGTTTTTATGGTTCGATAAGAGAATCTCTCTCAAACAAGGATCCAGTGGGTCATAGGTAGTCTAGTATAATCTAAATCATTTTCAAGTATCAGCTGAGAAAATGGAGACTATTTGCAGAAAAGTCTTATTAGGCAGTGGAGAATTTGCATACTCAGCTTATGAAGCATATTTTATACTTCGCTTTGAGTGAAAAGTACTCTAAACTATATAAATTGCTTAGTAGCTGCATATTGCAAAAAAGTAATGAACACAGAGTTCCTTTCAGGAAAGATCATTCAATGTTGCTGTAATGTCCGTTAAGAAATGCTTGAAAATTTCTGACACATTTTAGGGTTTCCTAACAAAATTTTAAAACATTTGGCCAGAGTAGATTTCCATAGTTACTTTATACCACTATGTGTCAAGCATCACATGCTTAGAACATATAACAGGTGTTCCACTTGTTCCCAATGGTTAAAAAAAAAACCTTTCGAGGTTGTGTTCAATTCCTGATATCTACAGGGACATGTCATATTTTTCCTTAACCACTAAAGAGTGCTTTGCAATTTTATTCATAAATCTGTATTTTTCTTGGCTGGTTTTATGTCAGGCAATCATGCTGTCCTTGCTTTGTCAAATGTAATCTGTTTTAGAATTACAATACTATGAAGAGATGCTGCTCGTACACATCGTACACATAAGCAAAGAAATTCAAGCTAGGAATTCTGAAAATGATTTGGGAAAAAATATAAGCTTCTGAAATCAACTAAATGATGAATTAACCACTAAAGTTACAATGGACAAGAAGAAACACCATGCTTCTCTCAAGAGCCTGGTATAAAGAAATTAATATCTTCTTTTTCAAAATGATATGCTATGCCTAGGATCAAAAGGACAATTTGTTCATATTTGTGCATATTTACAGATGTAGAACTGAACAGAAAACAAGCATCCAAATATATAGCATAATAACTGAAGTCAAGAACTGCAACTCTACAGGTCACAAAAACATGTGGTGTATTTAGTACCTTGTAATTCTCCTATTGCTAGGAATTGCATGTTTTGATCACAATATAAACACAACAAATACTATGCTTTGAAGTTAATGGTATGTCCAATAAACAGCAAGAAAGCTACTGCCATTGGGATGCCTCATAAACGGAAGTGTTGAACCTGCCAGATCCCTGAAGTAACTTTGCAAAATGTCTATTCCAGTTTTGTCCTAGCACCTTCAAGAAAGAAGATTCTACAATCTCCTTACCAAAAAGAGAATGTTTATGTACATATTCAACATACAAGAAAGAGAAAGGAATCAGGTTATGAGCTGCAAAGAAAACAAAACTCTAGTAAATTAGAAAGAAAAAACAAAGTTGGCCAGTTCCTATTTTTGTTCAGTTTTCTCCAAGAAGGAAAATACATGTTACTTCAAGACATTGTGAGAAACAAGATAGGGACCAAAATGGAAGCCTGAAATGTTAGAAACAAAGTCAGGTAAGATCTATATACTTTACTTTACAGGGTTGGATGAATTGTATCCTACAATTCTGAAGGAAGATGCTGGGGGATGCAGCTGAATTGTTATATACTTCATTTGAGAAATCCTGAAGAATTGGTGAGATATCAGATTATTATCCTTTTTTTTTCAAAGTGGGAGGGGAGAGAATCTAAGAAACTACAAACTAGCTCTATCAGTCTAGGAAAGATCAAGAGCAGATCACTAAGTGATAAGTCTGTAAACACCTTGAAAACAATGCGATAACTAGAAGAAGCATACATCTATTCAAATTCTTGTCAGACTAATATTGCCTTATTTTAAATCTAGTGATTTTTAATCAGTTATGGAAATGTTGTATCTTATACCTTATTTTAGTGAAACATACTGTGAAAAAAAATGTATTCGGATCTAGGAAACACATTTTAAGTAAGATTCAGAAAAACTGGGTTCAGTGAAAAAAAAAAAAGAAATTAAATCCTATGAAGAAAAACTACAGGAGCTGGATATTTTTAGCCTTGGGAAGAAGAGATATAGTGGAGAGGGGCTGGTGGAGAAAGACAGCAGTTCCCTTCAAATATCTGACAGAATATCACACAGAAAAAAAGTCAAGAGTTGATCTCTATCATTCTGAAGTGCACAGAATAATAGATTTACATTACAAGGAATCAGCTTCAACACTAGAAAAAAGACTTCTTAACAGTATGAACAGTTTGACAGTGGAATCAATTATCAAAAGAGATATGAATATTCTTTCAGTAGATATGTTCAGGCAGAGACTAGACAACCATCTGCTGGAGATGCTTTAATTTAGATTCCTGCACTGAACAGAGATTGGATCTGATGACCTAAATTGGCCTTTCCAATTCTATGATTCCCATGCTGAATTGCTCTTATGTTTAGGAAACAATTTCTAAAATCTAAATTATGAAGTAATTAAAACACAGGTCTTTATCTATTCCCGCTTCACCATGGCTTCAACATTTCTATATATTACAAGAGAAGGTACCAATAAAAGAGCAACAAACTCAAAACATAAGTAATTTCCCATTGAAGCCCTTAAAATTTCAGTACATGGTAATTTCTAGAGATTTGAAGAGAATCTTTTTATAGAAAAAACTAAGGTATAAAATACACCTGTTATATCTTCAGATTCCATTATTTACCATATGTTCTTCAAAGTTGAGTCTGAAAATAAGAACTTTCCTATTTACTTTCAAAAAGAATAAAGACTTCTCTCCTTTATAAGTTTTGGTTTTGTAAATTATTTTGGAACTATGCCAAACATAAATCTTTTGCTTTAGTACATTGCAAAATTATAGGAAACAAATACTCTTGTCTTAACCTTGGGCACTGGGGAATATCAGGGCTTTGGGTTAGAAGAGAAAGAAAAAAGAAAACCCAGAAGAAAGAATCAGCAAGCCACTTGTGTACTGTTGCCAAGAAAATTATATACACAACTCCATACAACACCAGGAATCAAGCATGACTTGAAAAAAAAAATCACGTAGTTAGGAAATCCCATGCTAAACTCTAAGGATTGTTTTTTCAGTATTTCCTTTCAGTATTAGTATTCTATTAGTTAGAGATAGGCAGTCTTTTGGTGGGAACTTCATTTATTATTTATGATTGCTTAGATCATTAGAATAGAATAGAATAGAATAGAATAGAATAGAATAGAATAGAATAGAATAGAATAGAATAGAATAGAATAGAATGGAGTGGAGTGGAGTGGAGTGGAGTGGAGTGGAGTGGAGTGGAGTGGAGTGGAGTGGAGTGGAGTGGAAGGAAAGGAAAGGAAAGGAGTGGAGTGGAGTGGAGTGGAAAGGAAAGGAATGGAATGGAATGGAATAGAATAGAATAGAATAGAATAGAATAGAATAGAATAGAATAGAATAGAATAGAATAGAATAGAATAGAATAGAATAGAATGGAGTGGAGTGGAGTGGAGTGGAGTGGAGTGGAGTGGAGTGGAGTGGAGTGGAGTGGAGTGGAGTGGAGTGGAGTGGAGTGGAGTGGAAAGGAAAGGAAAGGAGTGGAGTGGAGTGGAGTGGAAAGGAAAGGAATGGAATGGAATGGAATAGAATAGAATAGAATAGAATAGAATAGAATAGAATAGAATAGAATAGAATAGAATAGAATAGAATAGAATAGAATAGAAGGAGGTCTTCTAGTCCAGCTCCCTGCTCAAGCAGCAGAATCTAGCAGGGAATGAGATAATAACTTAGAGTGGTCCTGTATCAATAGGAAATGGATTTTCTTGGATTTTTACAGTTTTGAAGACAACAAAATGGTGGGAAACTGCCCTGATGAGCAATCATGGGAATATAATTTAGGGAGTTCCAAGAGTCACAATATTTTGGAGTGGGGCAGCTTGTGTCTTGTAACAAATTGTTGCCCTTCCTTATTCAATCCTATTACCATACATGGCTGATTTTCATCTGTTCCTTCTATTCTTGACTGTGTGAAAATTTTCTTTACTTTCTTCTTAATTTTCTATCAGTATTTGATTATACTCTCTTTGTAAGCTCTATAGCTAATAAGGTAGCCTTTTGAAAAATGGAGATA